GGTGGGGTGAGGGGTGTTCCAGTCTCTTGGGGCACTTACCCCCTTTATTTGCTGCAGAATGAGGTTTTGTGACTGGCAAGTAAAATGCAGATTGTCTTGCTGCATTTGTGAAAACAGCTTCCCTCATATCTGTACCTGATGTCTCGTATGTCTTTCCTTGTCTGGGAGGTGGTTGCTGGTCATCCTTACACTTGGATCGTGTGCCTTGAGTGGCTGGCTGCCTGGGCCTGGAGGTACTGGAGGGCCTGTGTGGGCTGCTGTGGCCACTGCTGTGGGTGGTTGGCCTCAGCTTCGGGAGGCAAGTATAGAGGGAGGAAGTCTCTTTTACTTTCCTGGACTGTTGTGCATGGACCGTTCCCCACCGAGTACTGCGGTGGCCAACACACCACAGGCTGGTCATCCTGGACTTGCTGCCAGGAACCTAATGGGAGGGAGTTTCTTCTTCTCATTACCCCCACTGCTCACCTTGTTCCTGAAGCATAATCCACCTGCAGCTAATGTGTCTTGAACGGACTGTCCCCGAAACCTGCCCTCTTAGAACATGGTTGTTAGTAATAATTAACTCAGCAAACAGATTTTTAAATCCTTAATCCACGCCAGGCATTTGGCCAGGCAGTGGTGTCTGGAACCTGTTAGCGTGGTGCCTGCCCGAAGCTTTGAAACCAGCAGAGAGACAGGGGAGCAGCTGCACAGTCATTTTAGGGGTGTGGCCAAAGGGAGCCCACCAGGAGGAGGACCTGCACCTTCCTCGGAGCGTAGGGGAAGGCTTCTCAGAGGAGGTGGCCTCCGGGGTGTGCCCATGCTGCCAGACACCCAGGGGCGCTGATGTCCCAGCCTGGGGAGAGCACCCAGGCTGTGGGGTTTTGAGAGAGGCGAGGGTGGCAGCATGAGGCTGCTGAGGCTGGCGAGGCTGGGTCCGGGAGGGCCCTGTGCCAGCTCAGGGAATTTAGGCTGATCCTGTCTTTAGAAAACGTGTGACTTGGAAGCAGGCCATCTGCAGCTGGCCTCCTGGCAAGTTTCCAGAGTCCACCCTGCTGCCTCTCTGAGAAGCGAGTGCTCTGTGTGTTCAGCCTCCCCCTTTGGGGCACTGTCGAGGGCAGGTGCTCGGGAGTGTGGGTTCTGCTTTCATAGGACTGGTGGCCCCAGATGGAAGGGTTTGAGGACAGGTGGCTATGGGCCTTGCAGGCTTTGCTTTGAGAGTATGTTGCAAGCAGAAGTATGTTTTTGCTTTTAGTTTTTTTTTCCCCCGAAGGCTCACACCTTGTTTGTGAGGTTTAAGGAACTTCCGTTGACTTGGAATGAGCAGAGACCTCAGAGGTCATTCATTTTCTCCCTAGAAGAGGCCCTTGTCCTGTTGTCCCGGCCCCCAGCACAGAGGAGAGAGGAATGGAGAAGAGGCCACCGCCCAGTGGCTTTCACCACCTGGTGGCTTTGGACTTTGTCAGACCTGCTTCACCGTCCTTGTGCTCTCATTGTGACGATGCTGAGAAAGGGTCCTTGGGTTCCCTCAACACTCATGTTTTGTGTTCCTGTGTCTTCTAGTATTGGAACTTCAGTTTATTTTTTTTTTCAGTTTATTTTTTTATTTACTTTTATTTATTTTTTTTAAAGAACTTCAGTTTTTTTTTTTATAATTTTTTTAATTTATTTATGATAGTCACACACAGAGAGAGAGAGAGAGAGGCAGAGACACAGGCAGAAGGAGAAGCAGGCTCCATGCACCGGGAGCCCGACGTGGGATTCGATCCCGGGTCTCCAGGATCGCGCCCTGGGCCAAAGGCAGGCGCCAAACCGCTGCGCCACCCAGGGATCCCAAGAACTTCAGTTTAAATGCATTGTTTGCAGGTGCATCAGCTCTTTGTGTGGCTGAAGTAAAGGAAATTCACATTTATTGGGCACATACTATGGTCTAATGTGGGATGTGCCAAGCCTTCTCATTTCATGTATCCTCAGACCAGCTGTGAGTTTTGTGGTGTTGCCCACTTGACTGCTGGCCAGGAGGGAAGTTGAGGCTCAGGAAGGTTAGACTTCTCCCCATGGTAAGTGGCAGAGCCAGAATGTCAGCTGGGCAGGTCACTTGGCTTTCAGCTCTGTTTGCTGTGAGGATTTCCTTTTGTGTTTCTGGCTTTTTGCCAGTTTGACCTGTCAGCCTATTGATGGTATTTTGATAATTTTTTTTAAAGATTTTATTTATTCATTTGACAGAGCACAAGCAGGGGGAGCGGGAGAGGGAGAAGCAGGCTGTGTTGAGCAAGGAGCCCCATGTGGGGCTCCATCCCAGGACCCTGGGATCATGACCTGAGCCGAAGACAGATGCTTATTTGACTGAACCACCCAGGTGGCCCCGCCTCCCCCTTTTTAGAGTGTTTTGAGAATTCCAGTAACTCTTGACATTGCAAAAGATTAGCTCTTCACTATGTGCTAGAAATGTTTCTTACTGTATTTTCCTTTTAATTAAAAAAATGTAGAACTTTCAAGTGTGTGTACAGTTGAATCTCCCTGTGTCTTCCTGTTGTGAATCCTGTTTTTGCACAGCATGGTAGAGTTCAGGGACTTCCTAGGGCAGGGTCTTGGAAATAGTTGGCCATAGCTTTGCCTGGGGGAGCTTATGGCTAAGGACTCAGGATAGGGGCTCCAGCCCAGGAAATTGAGCACAGTGTGAACTGTGACACTGAAAACGTGTTCATGGGTGCTGAGGTGATGGCCAGACTCTTTCGGGGGAGTTTTTGCTCAGTAGGTTAGAAAAGTACTTGATGGAATACATTTATAATTTAGTTTTTGTATTAAATCATAATTTAAAAAAATACTAATTTTGTGTTTCATTTTGATGTACAATGTGGTTCTGCCTTCTAAGAAAAATTGATAATCAGTTAGTACATCATCATGATTAAATAATCCTTCCTTACTCTCTGGGTCATATTTCACGTTTTTATATATAGTTCTATTTCTGAATTCTGCATTTTGATTTATTCATATTTTTGTTTCTGTTCTACTGTTGCATTGTCTGGTTCCTTTCTTTGGTTTTTCCCTCCCCTGTTCTGCTTTTAATTAATTTGCTTTTGCTGTGTTGACGTATAGAAGGGCCAGACTTCCTGAATGGGAGCAGGAAGGCTCAGGGACACCCAAAAGGGAGTGGCTTTCATTGTTCCCACTGTGCTTCAAAACCTTCACCCACCATCTCTTTGATGATGGCAACTACCAATAGACCACCTGCTGCTGGGGGGCCTGTGCCTTGGGGATGCTTTTCTCATGGTACGTGACTTAATTCACCTCAGCCAGTCAGCACAGCTGTGATTAGAGCCCAGGAAAAGGCCCATTAGCACCCAAGAAAGTGGAGCACCTGGGTGGCTCCGTGGGTTCAGCGTCCTACTCTTGATCTACATTGGAGTCCATGCTGAGCGTGGAGCTTACTTAAAAAACAACCCAAGAAAGTACTGTTCTTTCTGTTGTTCTAAACCACAGATCAGAGTTCAGTAACCACACCGGGTTTCTTTAATTTTGACATTTTAAAGGATGAGGAGAGATGGTAGCGTAACCTATGTGGGGGTTCTCAGTCAGCTAGGGGTTGTGTTGCCCAGGCTTGTGCACCTCCTATCCCATTCTTCACACCCCAGTCTTTTTTTCTTTTTAAGATTTTATTCATTTATTCATGAGAGAGAGAGAGAGAGAGAGAGAGGCAGAGACACAGGCAGAGGGAGAAGCAGGCTGCACGCAGGGAACCCGATGTGGAACTCCATCCTGGGACTCCGGGATCACGCCCTGGGCTGAAGGCAGGTGCTAAACCGCTGAGCCACCCAGGGACCCCCACACCCAGTCTTAGGCCAGAGAACCACCAGCAGATGTGTGTCACTGACAGCTTTGACTTTTGTCACTCAAGTCTTTATTGTAGGTTTATGGTTTTATTTTTCCTTGATTATCTGTTGTCCTCGAGCCAGCCTTCTACCTGGGTTTTTATAACTGTACATTAAGCTATTCATCCAGTAGGTATGGCCTGTTTTGGCTCTGTCCCATAGATCCCAGCCCTGCTGCTAAATAATAATATGATTTGGACCCATTTCTTAACCTCTCTGAGGCTTGGTTTCCTCCATGGTGATGGGGATGATATACCCTACCTTGTGGACGTGAGTCAGGTGATGAAAACACTGTGAGGAGCCATGGCTGACTTGGATGCGGTTGGCGTCATCTCATGGCACATAGCCTACACAGTCCTATTGTTCCCTGTTGTGGTGATGACATCTTGATTTTTCTGTCTTGGAATAAGTAGAACTTGATTTACATATGGGTTATGAATTCATGTACTTTTGACAGAGGTGCTCCGTCATTTATTTTGGGCATGGAACCCAACGTGGGGCTCAAACTCACAACTATGAGATCAAGACGTGAGCTGAGATCTGAGATCTAGAATTGGCTGCTCCAACTGAGCCACCCAGGCGCCCCTTCTGTTTATCATTTTTCAAAAAACATGAAAAACAACCCTTTCTTGCCTGGCCCGGTCCTCACACCCCCTGTGCTGGCCTAGGAGTCAGATATGTGACTGGTGGGATGCTGGTGATAATGAGCAAGGGGACTGTTTAAGTGTTTTTACCCTAGCTATAGCCTTCGTTTGGGTTATTGTCCTATTATTTTATATTATGCTAAAATGCTAGGTTTTGGTCCTGAATTAAAACTTGGATATGGGGATCCCTGGGTGGCGCAGCGGTTTAGCGCCTGCCTTTGGCCCAGGGCGCGATCCTGGAGATCCGGGATCTAATCCCACGTCGGGCTCCCGGTGCATGGAGCCTGCTTCTCCCTCTGCCTATGTCTCTGCCTCTCTCTCTCTCTCCATGTCTATCATAAATAAATAAAAATTTTTAAAAATAAAAAAAAAAACTTGGATATGTAGGACTTTTTCAGGGATTCCTCCCTACGAAGAGCTGTGTCAAATATCAGAATATTAGACCTGTGTCTTAGGCTTTTATAGATATTGTCTTAATTTCCATTTTTGTGTTTTTGCTTCCTAGTTCCTCCTTGGACCAAGATGACTGATGGAAACCTCTCCACCTCTACAAATGGCATAGCCTTGATGGGCATTCTGGATGGTCGGCCAGGAGACCACATTCAGAACCTGCAACACCTGAATCTCAAGGCACCCAGATCCCTCTCATTGCCAGAGTCTGGGCCCAAGTTGAAACTTGGTCCTTTGGAAGATCGGCACAGCCTAAAGTCTGTGGACTCGGGCATTCCTACCCTAGAGATCAGTAACCCAGAACCCGTTCCCTGCAGTGTGGTCCACGTGAAGAGGAAGCCATCGGAGTCGGAGATCGTCCCTGAGCGGGCTTGCCAGAGCGCATGCCCACTACCATCCTACACACCACCAGCTCCCAGCAGCACCGAGTGGGAGCAGAGTGTGCGGAAGTCATCCACGTTCCCCAGGACAGGCTATGACTCGGTGAAGCTCTATAGCCCCACCTCGAAAGCCCTGAACCGCAGCGATGATGTCTCCGTCTGCAGCGTGTCTAGTCTTGGCACAGAGCTGTCAACCACGCTGTCTGTCAGCAATGAGGACATTTTGGACCTGGTGGTCACAAGCAGCTCCAGTGCCATCGTGACCCTGGAGAGTGATGATGACCCTCAGTTTACTGATGTCACCTTGAGCTCTGGCAAGGAAACCCGGGAGCTGTGCCAGCAGGACTGTGCTGATGGAACTGAGGATGGGAGTAAACTGAAAATTTTGGGGCCACTTAGTAGCTTCTTTACCAGGTAACACTGTCTTTGTCTCTACAAGAGCTAGGTTCTCCAGACCAGCTGCCTGTGCCCATCCAAAATGTGCTGTGTGTGTCCTGGCTTGCTGAGCAGGCCCTGGGTCATTCAGGCTATTGGGTCTTCTTCCCATAGCCCAGAGTCCTGTGCGGTTGTGTGTAGGACTAGTCTGTCAGAGGTTCTGCTGTTTGAGCCCTTGCTGCCAGTTGTCCTCTCTGTGTCCTTCCCTGGCTGACTCTCACACTTTGTCGTCACTCCCAGGCCTCTGACCTGCTGTGGCTGAGGGTGACCCACAGGTGGCCCGTGTTAACAGATCAGCAGCCTTACTTTGTCACCCTTGTCCTCTGAAGGGCCCTTTATGATAATCACTTGAGTTGCTTGGGCCAAGTGGAGGTTTAGTAACCTATGTTTCCACCTCTGGCCCCCACTGGCATAACCCAGGGCTAGTGTTTCCAGGCAGCATTGGTCTCTGTGCCTCCACAGGGCTGGTGTCCCTGTTCTGGACCTGGCGCTGCTTCTGTCACTGCATGGCATCCTCTGCTTTCCCACCTGTGTTGGGACCAGGCCACTAAGGTGCCAGAGCAGGGCCTGTGGGGTCCCTGCGTCTCACTTCAAGTCCTTGGGGACAGCTCCCCTGGAACCTGCCTCTTACTTGGGCTCCCATGTTTTTGTTCAGCAGCTGTGTGTGTGTTCCCTGGTCTGCTCTTGGCAGGTAATATGGGAATAGTAAGAGCAGAGAAGTGGTTATAGGTAATCACTCTGGGTGGGGCCAGGGGTTGGCGGTGGTGGCCAGGGACACATCAGTCAGTCATATAAGCCACTATGGCCCTGAAGCTGGGCAGTGCTGTGAGGAAGGGCACAGGGGCTGTGAGAGGGTGGGTGGGAGAGTGGCAACCTGTTCCTAGCTACTCATTGGGGGGCCCATTTCTGTAGTTCACTCCAGCTGCCCCTTGCATGTGTGTGCTATAGCAAAGCCCATGTAGGTCTGCATGTTCCTTTTTTAAAAAAACATTTATTTATTTGAGAGCACATGAGTGAGGAGAGGGGCAGAGGGATAAGGAGAATCTCAAGCAGACTCCCCATTGAGCATGGATCCTGACCCGGGGCTTGAACCCATGACCCTGAGGTGAAATAAAGAGTCAGATGCTTAACTGACTGAGTGACCCAGGTGCCCCTGGGTGTCCCTTTGAAGTGGTGTGCTCTGCTGGCTGGGGTTGGCTGGAGATTTCTGTCACTGTGGGCATGAATGTGAACTGAACACTGCCCCACCTACTTCATCATCTGAATGTGGAGATCATGTTGAGTAAACCTAAGACCAGTCTTGAGGGAGAAGATCCCCAGTGCAGGCTCTGGTTTGGGGGGCACCTCTTCTCTCATGTGTGGACAGGCAAGCATCTGGCCACCACCCTAGTCCCAGAACGCCATCACCCAGGACCACTTCAGTGGGAGGAGCCCAGGAACTTTGGGGAGACAGTCACTGTCCCCTCTGAGGCCAAGCCCTCAAATAGGTTGCTGTGGTTCCGATTTGTGTGGCTGAGCTGTTCTCTTGACTCAGATCAGTGTCTGCAGGTTTTCTGAACTACGTGGGGGTTCTTGGCAAATTTGGAAATGTGATTCAAAATGAGGGTGGCTGGGAAGCAGCCTGGAGGTGAGGGCTGAGATTCATCTTGAACAGAGCTGCACCTGTGTCCTAGCTGTGTGACCTTGAATACTTTACTTCACTCTGAGTGAGTTCTCTCTAAAATCGCATGAGTAAGTGCCCAGCACAATGTGCTTGTTATGTTATTGATAAAGGTCCTCTTATGAGCCCTACTTTGTGTGGTGGTCACGGGGATGCAGTGGCTCACATGTGTGAAACAGGATCGACCCACCCAGAGTCAGCTCTCTGGGATCCGTCACTTGTGATCACCACGGCTGTGCTTTTCTTTGTCAGCTGCGCCTTTCTTTGTCGGCTGCCTTGTCTCACTGTGTTAGAGCTTTGATAGGAAACACCGTCAGTTACCGTGGATTGTTGCTAAAGCTACTGTTTTTTTCAGATTGAAGTGTTGCTGACATGCAGTGTCATGCTAGTTTCAGGTCTTGCACAGAGTGACTGAACATTTACGTCCATGACTCAGTGATCCCAGAGATGAATCCAGTGCTGTCTGTACCGTACAGAGGTGTTTCTGTCATTGACTACATTACATCCCTGTGTTGTCCACTGTATCCTTTGGTATTATTTATTTTTGTATCTGGAAGTTTGTGCCTTTTAATCCACCTTGTCTGTTTTGTACCTCCTCCTCCTCTTCCTCAACAGATTGCTCTTTGTATCTGAGTCTGTTTCTGTGTTGTTTGGTTTTTTAGGGTCTGCATATAACTGAAATTATGTAGTACGGGAAAGCTGCTATTTCTTGAAAATCTTTCATAGCTTTGTGCTACAGAAATTAAATGTCTCCTCTCTGTTTTATTCTTTGGTTCTTGTCTCCTTACCCCTTTTATAAAACATTTTTCAAACATGTATTTTTTTATTTAAATAATCTCCATACCCAACTTAGGGCTCGAACTCCCGACCTCAAGATCAACAGCTGCATACCCCACCAACTGATCCAGCCAGACACCCTCTCCCTTGCCCTTTTGATGGCTGTGACATTGTTGTGAACAACTATTAAGTATTTTGGGGAACCAGGTGCAATATTAATGACAAATGCATCAAAATATATGATCCTATGGGCTGAGCCTAGTGAGTTTTTCATCCTAGAGTCTTAAAGTGTGAAAGTTTCAATGTGAGAGGAGAGTTTCAATCTAGAATTCCTTTGAGGAGGAAAAGGGGTCTGTGCCAGAAATGTTTGGAACCCACTAAACATTTTACAGGAGAATTACAGAGGGGGCCTGGTACGTAGTAAGGATTGAGTTTTGTTGAGGGCAGGGTTGGGGCTAGAGATGGGCCTTTGGGGTTTCCAGCCAGGGCTTCTGATATAGCAAAGCCCATGTAGGTCTGCACCCATTTTATCTCCTGCACCCAGGTGACATTCTTTACCCTATTGCCCATCTGTTCTCATTGTCCTCACAGAGCCAATTTCTAGGAAATTGTAGGAGGAAGTGTGGGTGGGACTGTGGAAGGCTCATCTCGGAGAACAGGGCTCAGAGGAAGGGGTCATGGAACTGGTGGCTTGAGGGGGCAGACTGGTTGGTGGCCATGACTGCTTGATGAAGGTGGCCTGGGTAAGACAGGCCCAGAGAAGTGACAGGGTGGCAGGCTAGGCCTGACCACTGCCTTGAGAAAGCTGCAGACTCAGCATTCTCTGTCCCTTTTCTCTGTTCTTCCTGCAGGCTGTTGGAAGCCCCTGTGCTGCAGCTCCCACCTTGAGCTGAGACATAGTCCTGGTGGGGGAGATGGAGCAGACACGGGGGGTGGGGGTGGTGTGAGGGCTGTCCTAGAGGTGTGAGCATGTGAGGGTGCCAATGTTGAGTGCTGCTTCAGGAGTCAAACTGGCTAGATTCAGTGTGAGCTCTCCCACTTACAAGCTGTGTAACCTCGGGCAAGTTAGTTCATTCTTCTCTGAGCCTTAAATGGAGCATAAGACTGCCTAAGGTTAGAGATCAAGTAGGTAAAGAAAGCATCTAGCACATTGCCTGGTAAGTAGTAGCAATCTGTGATTCTAATGTCAATGTCATTTCTGAGAAACACAGTTTTGTGAAATTTTCTCTAGTTCTTCTAATATGGTACTGACTTTAATCAAAAGTTGTTGAAAAAGTTACGTCAGGATTTCTGCACTGTTGATGTTTTGGGATGGATGAACCTTTGTCGTGGGGGCCGTCCTGTGCATTGAAGGCTGTCTAGCCGCCTCCCTGGCCTGTAGCCACTAGTTGCCAGGACCACTTCCCAGTTATGCAGCAAGGCATCACCTTATATCCTGGGAAGGGAGGGGTTGGAAGAGTGGACAAAATCACCCAGCCTTTGAGAACCACCCTGCTGGTAGGTTGTGAATGTTGGTGTTTTGTTTCCTTGAAGAAAATTTACTAATGTAATTTGAGTAGGATCCTCTTGTTTGGAGGGAGCGACTGTGTTTAAGGGATTCTATGCCTCCTGTGTAGTTTTATTTTGTTATTTTACTTATTATTATTTTTAAAGATTAATTTATTTTTTTATTCATGAGACACAGAGAGGCAGAGGGAGAAGCAGACTCCCTGCAGGGAGCCTGATGTGGGACTTGATCTCAGGACCCCGGAATCACAACCTGAGCCAAAGGCAGACACTCAACTACTGAGCCACCCAGGTGCCCCTACTATTACTATTTTAAAGATTTTATTTATTAAAGGGAGAGAGCAGGAGCAGGGGGAGGGGCAGAGGGAGAGGGAGGAGCAGACTCACCATCAGGGAACCCGATGCAGGGCTCTATCCCAGGACCCTGGGATCATGACCTGAGCAGAAGACAGATGTTTCACCGACTGAGCCACCCAGGTGCCTCTCCCATGTAGTTTTAACAGTATTTGTGTAGATACCTGGACAGCAAAGACAAGGGGGATGCAGTAATACACGTTTCTCATAGGATATAGATTGTTTCTGTGAAGGTGAGGATTTAAGGCCGCTAATCTGCCCTGGCCTGGAAGGTAATGATCAGCTTTGACCACTTACCGCTGCTTTGGCGGCCCTTTATGCAGCTCTCAGCAGAGATGGTCTGGGTGTCCTTGCTGAGCAGCGATGCTTGCACTGCATTGGAAGAATGAGAAGGGGCTTATGGAGGGAAGCTGAGGGAAAGGGAGCAGCTTGCCGGAGGCTAGGAGGTACGGTGCCCCTGTGTTCAAAGATCTGTGATGATGCACTTTTCTGGTGTGCTTCCCCACCTGGTGGAGAGCCCCTTGGGTCACAGTCTGCATCTGGCTTATCCCAGCAGAGGTGACCTACATGTAACACAGGCGACCTGTGGGGGACCTGGAACTGCTCAGACCCAGGTTCAAACCATTTTTTACCTGTGTGACCTCAAGAACTCCCCCAACTTTTGTGATTCCCCCTGTGTACT